CGATGGATGGTTCCCTGGGCAGAGAAAGGGCCTGTTAGGCAGAAAAGCAAAAGTGACAGCAATCTGTCTGACTTTATGTTAAAAGAAAGAAGGAACAGAAGTAACATGTCCAACAGTTGCATCAGCAGGGGATATTATTTTTATTTCTTCTATGCTCTTTCTAATGTTAATGTCTTAAAACCAGCTTAGCTAATTCATAAAAATTTGAAGACAGTACAGTAAACAGTTTTGTGGCCTTATGTATGTGCCTCTAATAATGCTTTGACTGTAAGATGTTTAGTGCAAGAGCTGTTGGTACAGCCTACATCAGAGAGATCCCAGTCAGACAGTTCCCAATAATCCCAAATACTGGCTGGTTTCAATGCATGATTGTGCAACTAATAGCAGCTCATAACTAATAGCTCTACCACTATTTGGTCATGGTCTGTTTGGTCATTTTTCCTTGTGTAAACACAAAACATACTGTCACTCTCAGAGTAAATTCTATTTTCTAAAATGATGCCTTGCTTTTCATCCACAATAATTTGTAAGGTGCTTTCCTGGCTTTCAGTTTTGCCAAGATTTTTCTTATACACTTCACAAGTGTATCAGAAGTGGAGGGAGACAGTTGTATACCAAATCAGTAACATGGTGTGAATGAGAACAGTAAGCTTTGACTTGTTGCTAATGATTCTGTACCAGAAGAAATTTAACTATTATGAAATCATTTATGACTAAACAATAACAGGAATTGCTGGAGGGTTGGGTAATGGGTCATACAACTGCTATCCAGCTACCTTATATTTTTGGGAGCAAAGATTTGGCATTCTAGCACACAGACACAAGAAACTGTTGGAAAATAATTCTCAATCCAATGGTTGTGCAGCGTTCATGCCAAAACTCAACAGTCTCCAAAAGCAGTACATAAAAGTAGATTGATGGATCGATGTCAGCTGCTATGATTAGTTTTTGATAACAAATGTGATACTACATCTTTGTGTGAAAAGATGCTTTTCAACAGCTCCATGCAGTACATGGATATTATGCGTGTGCTAGCCCTGCAAATACTTCTGATCTCTATTGCAAAAGTATTCCTATGGCCACTGCTTTCTACGTTTCCTTCTAAAGGCTTCTAAAGGAAATAGGCTAATGTCCTGTGCATCAACAAAACTCTCTTCTGACGTAGTAAATTCAAAACTTGCATCCCATTCTGCGGTTTTGAAGAAGATTCTTGTATTTTCTTTTCTCTAGGTTGCATGACCCTAGTGATCAGTAGCTGATGCTTTGTGATGTGTGTTTATTGTGCACAGTGTGACAGGCCTCATCTTGTGCTTGTACACTTTCCTCTGCTGTTACCTGCTGCCTGCATTCTCCATGGCCCATACACACACTGAAACTTTCAACCAAGGCTGTTTCTCAGAAAACATCTCATTTTCAGACTGGATACCAAGATCATGGCAACCTATATGTAAGAACTCGTTCTTTTTAGTTCTAGTTACGTTTGGTACCTGCTATTACCTTTCCTAGGAGATGTAAGTGAAGTTGCATATAAGTTAAACGTATTTTGTTTTTTTTCCCCTGAAACAATATTATTTATCCACTAGAAACCAGATGAAAGAAAACTAAGTCTGAATGGGAAAAAAATCTAATTCTGTTATCCTTTGGTTTGACAGCAAGGGTCAAATTTTCCTTAGGAAAAATGAAATGATCTTATATGACCAAGTTGTATGGACGCTTGCTTTCCATGACTCCTAAAGCTCACAAGGCTCATCATTGCCTGGAAGTCTGTATTGTGGATTGTCCCTACAAGATTTTCAGAGATAAGCATCTCCTGGAAACATCATAGAATCCCCACAACAATCAATAAAGATACAAGGAAGACATTTTTTGGATCTGTTGCCAAAATCAACTGTTTTCTGTCCACAAAATGGTTGTGGAGCTTCTCTTCCTCACCCATCCCAAGGTCAGCAAAATTCATACCTTTACATACAAAGAACAGAGTAGATTTGAAAGAAATCAGAAGATAAATTGCCTATCAGACTGCTGAAAACTCTATTATACTTGACTGTTCCCCTGCTACACATACACATTTGCATAAGATGGCACCAGCATTTAGTACTCCAGTTACCAGGGTATAGCTAATTAATTAGATTCCAGGGCTGAGAGTCTTACATCATGAATGAATTTTCTCAGGAACTGGAAAAACTCAAGTAATGTACAAGATGGGAAAAGAATAATCCAAGATGATACTATAATAGATCAAGTCTGTCCAAATCCAACTTTGGTGAATATCTTTGTGATATATACATTTTCTTTTCATCTCTCTGTGTATGCAGAGTTACTATAAAACTCAATTTTTTTTTAACCTTCTCAGGTTGCAACTGAAGAAAATGCATCAGTTCAACCCATCAGCCTGAGTCGATGGATATATTCTATTTCTTTCCAGTACACTTTAAAAGAAGGCTATTCATCTTTATCTTCCATTAAACATCTATGAAGAACCATAAAGCATTTCAGAGAGGCTAAAAAAGGCAGAATTCAATTGTAATGCTTTCTTTCTAACCACTGCACTTTTTTGCATTATGTTTTTCTAAGTAAAAGAGAGGCCACTTTCAAAGAATATATCAAAGAATATATATCATGAAATGCACTGACCATTATTATGGGTACTACATGAGCCTAGACTGCTACTTAACAACATACCTTAAATGGCATTTTAGTGGTTTGGTTACAAATACATCTTATTAATTTTCTATTTTAAAGACAAAAATAAAATCTAACCACAAAACACCCTTTGACACTTCCTGAGTTTAATTTGCTTGCTGCATCCCGTTTGGCTAGAAGTAAAAGCTGTTTTGAATCAAAAGCATTTTCTTTCTGCAGGGCCAAAGAAGTCTTCCTTTACAGAGAAACAGTTTCAAATGAATTAGTAAGGTAATGTAGACCACTTAATTTGTTTTTTTGGTTGGAGTCTCTCTTTTTTTTTTTTTATTTGTTTGTTTGTTTTGTTTGTTCGTTTGTTTTAAACTTGGTCTTACAACTTTAAAAAAAAAAATAAAAAAGTTGTTTAAATGCTAGTTTCCCTACTAAAAGATCAGAAGAGGCATTCAGGCACATACATCCTGAAATCAATTGTTTTATAGACAACAGAGTTAATGAGGCTCGATTTCCCCTGATTTGATGTCATATTGTCCCCCATTTCTCACATTTCACCAACAACCCAACCTTGTAATACTTGCTGTGACCCTCCTTCCACAAAATTCCTTTGTCTACTCAATATCTAACATCTCTTTCCATAGCAACTCAAGATCTAAGGTTATTTTGTAAATACATTCTACACCCATCAGCTTCCCCTCAGGTTTCCAGAGCCTCATCACCATCATCATTCACTCCTTTCTCTAACTACCGCCCAACAAGAGTGTTAACATGCCCAAAGAGCTACTGACATAGTGATTAGCTGAGTGACTACTAACAGAGTTAATAATTCCTAAGTTCTCTCTTCCCAGTGGCCATTTTCACTAACTTCAGAGGAGCTGAATATTTCTGTGATTCTTCTTTTCTGTTAAACAGGGTAAAAATAACCAAAATTACTTTTGAAAGCAGAACTGAGATAAGAATGACATGAACCTCGTTTTCTTGGGAAAACAGAGAGGGAAAAAGGAAATTTGGTCTTACTTAACTGCAATAATTTTCTGTTATGAAATGGTAATTCAGAATACATTCATTCTTTGATGCCACTTGTTTCACTTCCAGGGCAATTCAGAAGCTGATGGAAAAATACGATAGCAGTCTGTGGCTGCTAAAAATGGGCTAAAAAATTAGGGAAATAGAAGCTCATCTCATTCCAGCTTCACAGTCTTATTTCATCTCGATGCTAACAAGAGCTAAAAATTAGCCTTGATATTTTAAAGGATGCCTGCCTGAAAAATCTGGAACAGTTCAGAGCAGCTGCATTTAGAGGAACAAGAAATCTTACTGTTTTCTCTCATCTCCCCCACAGTGCCACGTGTCTGAGATACTTTCTCTTCCAACATTTTCAAGGAGTGGCACCAGTATACCAACTCCAGAATGTAGGAGCTCTGTATTATGCTGGGAAATTCACGTATGGCAGAGTAAAGCAATGTCTCTCACTCCCAGAATACATCACATTCTTTTAGTGCTGTTCTTCATGAAAATGAAAGCACTGGAAGAATACACAGATTTTTCTACTATCTTTAGTTCAGTCAGAATAAACATAATTCTTGTCTTGTTTTTCCTTCCTTCTCTTTTCTTTTTCAATAATAATCCACAGAATTATGGAATCACTCAGGTTGGAAAAGACCTTAAAGATCATTGAGTCCAACCACAAGCTAACCATCCTACCCTAACTCTAACAGCCCTCCACTAAATCATGTCCCTGAGCACCACATCCAGACGGTTTTTAAACACATCCAGGGATGGTGACTCAACCACCTCCCCGGGGAGCCTATTCCAGTGCTTAACAACCCTTTCTGTAAAGAAGTGTTTCCTGATATCCAACCTAAACTTACCCTGGTGCAACTTGAGGCCATTTCCCCTCGTCCTGTCACCAGTGAGAAGAGACCAGCCTTGCTCTCGCTGTAAGCACCTTTCAGATATTGGAAGAGAGCACTAAGGTCTCCCCTCAGCCTCCTTTTCCCCAGACCAAACAGCCCCAGTTCCTTCAGTCTCTCCTCACAGGCCATATTCTCCAAGTCCTTCACAAGCCTTGTTGCCCTTTTAAGCTAAACAGTAATTCTTCGGAAAAAAAAAACTGACAATATGTGACTCTTTGACCCCATTCTCATTTGGGCTTTACAGAGCAAAACAACCTAGAAAAGAAAAAAATTATATAAGCAATATACTTACAGAAAATACACCAGAATACAGAAGTATAACAAAGTTTATGGCAAGAACTGTAATGACATTTCCAGCTTCAGCCAGATAATACTTACTCTATGCATCAGATCATGAAAACAACTCAGGTATACAGACTACAAACAGAGAGACTAATAAAGAATCTTTCAAATTAAGGGAGGTACTTCTTCATTATTTTCAAAATCAACATTGCTTTTCACTGTCTCTGTAATCTTCTCTGGCTGTAGCTTAATAGGTCCTCGTCCAATTTGTTCCTTTTCTGGGATTATCTTTGTCACATCTGGGAATGAATATTTGTCAGGATCCACTTCTAATTTCTCAACTGGTTTGCTTCTGAAACAAGAGGGAAACGAAAAGAAAAACCCTTCATTTCAGGGTCAAATATAACAGCACTGTTTTGGATACCTGTTATTAAACTTAATGACTTCATTGCGAGAGTTGTTACTGAGCCCAATTAAATGAGGATTAAAAGTCCTTATTACTTGAAAATTGTTCGTTACAAAAACTCAGTGTGAACAATGAGTACTACAAAAGTACAGCTAAATCTTCACTATTTTTTACAACAGAATCTCTATCTTACAAAAATAAACACTGATAGTTAATTTGTTGGCATCTATAATTTGTCTAATATCAGGACATGAAGATTGCTGGTGTCATATTTTAAGTGACTGGCTTCTGATGTAAGACAGGATTTTACAATCATAACTGTTCCTTCATCCTTCTGTTCACTGTTATCACACAAGGTGATTACTAGTTATAGGATGACAAATTTATCTTTGGAAAGCAGAAATACTCCTTTAATTAGACAGAAAATATAATTGTACTAATTTGCGTGCTTATATCAACTAATTCATAAGTTTTGTTAGTGGAAATACTAGCAATGTTTGTATTATGAAAAAAAGATAGTATAAGAAAGGCCAGAAGTACAAAAGAATCTCCAGATTCAACCACTATTAAGGAAATTGTTTCAGATTACACTTGCAGATGTGAACAGTCCACTCATTAAGGCAACCAAACAACACCACATGATGATCAAAGACTTGAAATATACTTTGACTTGCAAAGTCTGTCTTTTAAAAAAAAGGCAAAATGGGAATTTCATTGTCTGATGATCTAATTTCTGAAAATTTTAGCATGGTTTGTTTATCTTTGTACTGATTTTACTATTACACTAAGGACTACTTTGGGTCAAAGTTCCAAGCTAAACATTACAAAAGACAGTACATTACAAGATGTGAGAAAACTCCTTGTTTACCCAGGAGATCAGAAAGGTTTACTAAGACTAGAACAAAGGAAAATGTAGCAAGGTTACTGGTTGAAAAAATGTTTTACTTTGATGACAAATTAGGTAATGAAAGTATGTAAATAAAGTATATAAAAAGATCTTTAATTTGAAATACACCATCTTCAGTTTTTAAAAAGCGAGGTTTTGTGAAGAAGCTTCCAAAGTCTGCCCATGCTTCTTCATTAGTCTCCCAGGTCATGCCTGTGTCAGATCCCTGCCCAAGATACGGAGAAATGAAGAGGCAGGTTTCTTCACTTATGCTAGGGCCAAGGAAAACATGACTAACAGAAGAGTAATAGTCAGATTAGCCACTTCTTTCAGCATTATGCCACTAGAATTTTCTTGTTCTAAGGGAATTTTTTGCCCATTTTGCTGAGCAGGAAATGTCCAGAGAAGCCTACCTCTTAATAATCAGAATAATCCTTTTCCCACAAGCGATGAAAACAAAAGCCACTGAGAAAATGTGTTACGAGGAAAAATACAAGAAAATTGTCATTTCTTTACTCTGAATGTTCTTCCATTTATGAGGCTAGATTTTTAATTAAACTAAACAAAATTCTGTGGCAACATTCCAGAAAATGTTCATTTCTTAGAGTTAAGAAACAGTTCTGTTTCCTCTGTGATTTGTGAAAAGTGCTGTCACTTTGAAGGATTTTATTAGTAGCCACTGGGGGATTCTAAAAAGAACACCTTTTTTTTTTCTTTTTCCTGTCTAGAAAATTAATATAATCACTAATGACAAGTCACTAATTTGAAAGCATCTCAGAAAAAAAGTAAAAAAGCATAAATATTAAATTTAATCAGCCTCAGCATGTACTTCACTCACATGGTGGAAAAGATTTACCTTGATTTGATTTATTTCAATTATTATTGGTAATTTGCATTTGTTCTAAAATTGTACAAATTGCTAGTCATGAAAATACAATCAACATTATGGATTTTGAATAATTCATTGCTGAGTAGATGAATAAACTTCAATACACCAAAAAATAATTAACTGCATCATAAGTAAAAGTCCACATCAACAAGCTTGTCACCAGTCATTCTCAAAATTTAATCAGCAAGTGTTATCTAGGATTAGCAAGGACAATAGGAAAGACTGAGAATCATCACAGGTCAGCTATTCTGTACTTCTTTAGTACAGCTCACGTTACTCCCTCAGCTATCATAAAAGAAATGTTTGGACAATGACAAGCCTTAATCATGCTGAATTCAGTGCATATATGACACATACACACAAGTCACTCTGAAATTACTGTTTCCTATTTATTTCCATGGAAACTACAACAGATACAAAGAGCACAATAACACTATTTGACAGAGCAATCTCTCAGCTTCGAGACACAGTCACCACCATTAGCTGTGAATTTTCATCAGCTATGAAAAAGAACCTTCATGTTGCATTCATAAATATCGCCATGGTCATTCAGAACATGATTTGTGTCTCATGTCATTGTTGCCACTGCTGAAATGCACCACCCACTGCCTCACAGTGCTCACATCCACTGTTTGGTCTCTGTAAATATTCAGCAAATGTCAATTAATTTCAGTTGGTGCCATTTTTTCTGCATGAAAGAATTCAACTCCACACCTTTGCTTCACACGCACTTCCATGTCAGTTGCTATTTTGTCAGACCGCCTCTCTGCTGCCATCTGTCGCACAGCAACAAAATGTAACAGACTATTGCTGGGATGATTCAACCTCTACCGCCATACCACCCACATCTGCCTCTGATGTCGTGGGCCAACATAATAAAATAGGAAGCATTAATTTCAGAACTGCCATTGCACATCTCCTGGAAATGCGCTCTCCCCATCACGCTTCTATGGAAAAAATGGTATGACTACTGATGATGTCATGACTATCTGAAAAATTTTGGAAGAAGGAATGCAAACCTTTTCTGCCTAGGAGAGTAAAAACTATTCTTGTTGCTAATGCTTTTTCATAAACAGTGGTAAAATAGTGATGAAGACAATAAGACCAACTACAATATATCTATCAGCCTCAGTGATCACAAATGATTCCAATTTCAGGCACTGCTACCTGCTGTTGAGTGGTCTCTACCCAAGCGAGAATGATGATCTACAGATTAGATCATCAAAATAAATAATATTAAGTGATTTTTCTTTTCCTGGCATTTCTTTCCCTTAGAAAGGTTATTTCTATCTCTACATAGTTGAAAGATGCTTCAAAAAAGAAAAAGATTTCACAATAAAGAAATGACAGTCAGTCCTTCAATTTTGCATAACTATAGCAGCCTGCTGATCAATCTGGTGTGTGACAGAGCACAACTCCGATAATTTGAGGGGGGTTTTTTAATTTACACTTTTGTTCATACTGTTCTTAATTCCAACATTTGATATTTTAATGATTTGACAGTTACATTTTCTTGCTTCAACTTCTGAATTTCAATAAAAGTTTGGATTGCCAAAGATTTCTCATACTCGTGATCCAGAAAATACACTGGCATTTGACTGAAAGTTTCCTTTCTTGCATCAGCATTTGCAATCATATTTACAAAGTATGACCAACAGCTCTGGAGAGCCAATATCAGCATCCAAGTTTCATCTTCACAGTTCTGTCCCTTACCTTTCTTTTCACAGTCACTTCACAATATCAAACTGACCTTGCCTGTTAGTAAGAAACACGCTCCAATATGTTCAATATACAAATCCATCTTAAATCGTATTTTTGCATCTTAATTATCCCAGAAAAACAAAAAGCACTGCTAAATTTGTTAGTCAAAGATGAGCCCTGTTTAAACATCGGGGAAGCTTATACTGAAAACACTTCATTCTAACAAACTGTTAAGACCTCACTTAAAAAGTACTGAAACGTTACATAAATAATGCTCATAGCAAGGGGGTTCAAACTAGATGATCTTCATGGTTCTTTTCAACCTAGGCCATTCTATGATTCTATGGAAAACACTGTTAAGTATGTCTATGCTCTGAGTCTTTTATCCTTATCACATACGTACATTTTGAGATGATTTTAGATTTTAAAGCTCAAGAACTAACTGAACAGTATTTTTGAGAATTTTCTGAGTTGTCCTTGCCCTTATACAACTATGGATTATTAGACACATGTGTGAGCAAATTAATTTTCAAATCATTTCTTAGGTGCCCAACATTTTTTTCCTCTGTTAGTCAAAAGATAGGGGTGTATGCTGTATATTTTGGTTAGCTCTGGGCATCCATGAGAATGCAATTCAATCTACACTTTACGCTTAACAGTGAAAAAAAGCCTTTTAAAAATGTTTCTTAGTCAGACCTGATCTAGTTTCTGTTTAAAGTCAGTTGAACTACTACTACTATGTTTTCTCCTATTTCAGACAATGTAACTTGCTTTGAGAGCAGGAATTCTCAGTATCTTCATAGAAAATATCAATCTATGTTGCCTGAAAAGATTATTTTTGCAAATCCATTCAACTGGCTAGATCTGTGATCAACTCCTAGGTCTTGTAGAAGGCACTCATGACATCTCAGTAGAACTGATAACTGATTTGCCAATTGTGATCTTGCCACACATTTATTCATCTTTTGTGCAGGCCACGTTTCAGTCGCACTTACCTGTCTTTTAGTTAAAATGTTCATTCCTGATTTAGGAGCAGAAATGAAGGTGAATTTGAGTTTTGAAAAAGTGCATAAAATCTGCTTGCAGTTCCTTCAGGTTAGTTTGTCTACAGCTTCACAAAACTTCTACCCTCATCTTACTTCACATTTCCAGTTTGGAAATTAGTCATTTTGTTCTATGGTATTCCTTTCTGCAACATTAAATTCTCACCTCTTTCTGCAAACTGCAGAAGTGTGCTGGGAGAGATCCTCAGCTAATAAATTGGTGGACAGGAGAATAGTCCTACACTTGGCAAAGATTCTTTCAAGGATTCAAATTAGAATGCATTTTTTGTTTTCATTTTCTGTTCCTGTCTTAGTAAATAGCTTTTATCTCAACCCATGAGTTCTATTTTGTTTCCAATTCTCTCCTCTTGGGAATAGCTTGGGTGGTGCTGAGCTGCCTGTCAGATCAAACAGCAACAGTGTATATTAACATTTAGAGATGTTTCCCATTTTCTATTTTTTTCTTTTCCAATATGATATAGGAGGAACAGTCTAAAGCTGAGTGTATGGGATAAGAGTCATTAGGTTTATGTATCTGCTACTGTTAAATTTCCAGTATAATTTGAGAAAAGTAAGTTCCTAACTACGTAAATTTCACCTATGTACCAATGGCAAATTCAGCTTCTTTTCCTCATAAATTCTGACGCCAGTAACAGTTAAGCCTGACAGATGCAGCTGCTTTATCAGTAGATGTTCTATAAGTATAATAAATCAAGAAACCAAATTCCTGCTAAAATAACTTATCTCTTTGAAGGTTTGAAATACAGTTTTGTATACAGTCATAGAATGTGGCAGAAGTAGTGAGCATCATCATATAATACAGCTAATGAGTTAAGAAATTTAAAGCACTATATTATAGTTTAGCAGATTATGTCTGACAGAATTTAGCTTAGACATCCGTATCTGTCAAGTGTGATCACTCACGGAATTTCTTCCGTAATGTAAGAGACAACTATTCAGCAAGTTTTTAACATCTGGCTAGTCAGCAATTTTTCAAATTCAGAGGTCAAAACCTAGCATTTTTAGAAAGAGCTGTAATTCAAAATGCCTCTTTCCTAATTCTCCTTTTGTGATTTGCACTCCTGAAATATTTTAACAATAAAAACTGCATTTTTTCCTTCAAAATCCTCAGTAAATATTTTAATAATTACTTAAAAGTGGACTGAAATCTAAAAACTCCTTGCACTTTGCCATGGAGTACCTTTAGTTCACCTCTTGGCTGGAAAGGGGGCCTGCTTCATTATTAGTCTTCAGACTCTTCCTTTTGGAGTGTTCTAAGGAAATACATATTAGCAACCCACTAGTTGCCATCTCTCTGCTGTTTGGAAGAATCCATTTAGAAGAGAGGTCGTGTATCTAAAGTAGGAAGATCTGATTTTCTCCTAGAGAACAGTTAATACATTTCTTTTAACTGATTTATTTTAATGTTCAAAGGCTGTAGCTTCTGCTTCTGCTGGAAAGAACCACTGCCCATCTTTTAAAAAATAATTGAAATACTCAGTAATTAAGAAGGTGAACTGTTGTAATCACTGCTGCCTAAGGAAAGGGTACAGTGGTTGTGTCTCATCTGGGATGTCAACAAATTCTTGCAGTCATCTGATTGTCTTTCTGCTAGGCAGGCCAGTCAAGAAAAGAAGACAAAAACAATCCTTATTAAAATTAAGAAACAAAAAGCAGGAAAAACAAAATGAGAGACACTTGCAGTGCCATTTGGCCAGCATCCTAAATACTGAGACCAAGAACAGACATGATCCATAATGATAACCTTTACTGTCTGCCTAGCCTCTCTATCAGTGTGTACCACAACAAAACCAAACAAGGAAATACAACACTTTTGGTACAAATAAGCTGCTTAACAAACTTTGCAGTTACCATATCTCACAACGGTATAAATATTGTTGCCTGCAACAAGAGGAAAAGCAAAATATAGTAACATACATCAAAATGTCTGTATTTAGTAAGGCCATGTGGCCATCAACCCCCATGTCTATCTGCTCTAATGGTTATTAACACGTGGTAAGAGAAAAAATCATAGCATATCCCTGATATTTGCTTGCTTCCAGCAGTCATTAACTACTATCTGAAGGAGTTTAAGAGCTAGATTTTATGGCACATGTAATAGAATGGACCTATGTTGCATAACCACAGAATCACAGCAGTTGGAAGGGACCTCTGGAGGTCACGTAGTCCAGGCATAACCAACCCATGTCCCATGAGCAACATGAGGCTGGCACAGTGGCTGTGCCACACCAAGCCATCTGGCCCAACCCTGGAGGTAACCCATTGCTCAGCAACAGCCAAATGTAGGTGTGCTATTAACACTGTCTGAGCTGCAGCCAGGGCACAGGGAGGGTACAGTGCAGTGCCAGCACAAGTTATGGCAAATAATTGTATGCATTTTCGTTCATGAGCCACACAAAGTCCAGAGATTCAACTCAGAAATCTGACTGTGTCCCTTTACTTTTACAAGCCCTATTTTACCAGAGAAAAACATTTCCTCACTTCACAGTCATGCCTTATTTGTATCACCCCTTTTTGGCAATACACACATTTGCAAACAACTGTTTTCAAGGATGCAGTAAAGGTGGAAGAAAATTTCATCAAAAATCTCTGATGAACATTTTGAAACCTCACTAAGAATTGCAGCCACTGCCATTGAACCAGACTGATGCATTAGTTAGATTTTCTGAACTGATTAGTCAGACTTTTTTGAACTGAGGAGCCCAGAACTGGACACGGTGCTCCAGTTGTGGCTTCACCAGGGCAGAGGAGAAGGGGAGCAGAGTCTCTTTTGAGCTGCTGCAAATGTTCTTTTTAATGCACCCCAGGAAAACAAAAACCTTGCAGAATTGCTTTCTGAAGCTACCTAGTGCAGTACCTCAACGTGTATACTCACTCTATCAGTGAGCAAATACATTCATGAGAAAGATTCAAAACCTCTTTTTTTCTAAATGGTTTTGAGAGGCTACACAACAACAAGTTCTGCAGAGACAACTCCCAGTAGGTAGTATAGTTTTAGCGTGCACTATTTCAATAATTTGAATGAGTTGATGGAACAAAACCGATCTGCAGAATTAAGTGCTTTTTTGGCTCTGCTATTGGAGCAGACCATTTTATAAACAGCACCAGACAGGCTATTAGTCTCAGGTTTTTATACATTGTTGTAACCTATACAAATGAATATTTTCATACTTTTAACAATAAGATACTCAATAGGAAGCAAATACTCTGGCAATTGAATAACTTAAGTACAAAAATTAAAATTAATGGAAAAGAAAAAAAGGAATTACCTTGTACTTTTTTTGTACATCGTGTTGCTGTCAGAAGGTTTGACTGAAGTTGATGATTTTTGCTTAGCCAGGATTATTTCTTTAACCTAAAATAAAAATAGACAGAAAAATACGTCCCACAAAAGTTGATATTTATGCTCAAAAGCATTTAAATTATCTGTCAAAAATTGAAGCAGTAAGAGGATGTGAATAAATTTTGTCTTGTGACATTTTGTCTTTCTGTTAGGTTTTAAAACTTTCTACTCAGGATGAAACATGTATGAGGCCATTTAACCAAATGATTTAAATGGAATCATATTCAAATACATATATGAGTATGCATATTTTTAAATGTTTAAATATATGTACATATATATGTTTTCTTGTTTAGTACCACATAAATAATGCACACTGATTTTCTCTGTAGCTAATGAGCTTTTTCTTGATGCATCTTCTGCTTGTATTTGAGTCTTAATGTCTATGTTAGTTCAGACACTTTTATTAAAGCACCTGCTAAGTTCTGGACTTCTCACTATTTATGAAAAGGAGAAGCAACTACAAAGTCTTTCAGCAACTTTACTAAAATTAAATTTCAAGATTGAAGCCTAAGTGAATTCCCTTTCTCAAAGAAAACATGTCCATCGCCATTTTGTTTAAGGAACGTATTTCATTTCTCATGGCAAAAACATCTCTCTTTCCTTTCATAACAACATCATGGGAAAGGGATCCCTTAAGCACTTGAAAGGAAGGGGGAGAACAGGAACATAATGGAACTATAAGAGAACTAAAACAAATAGTTTATTTTATCTAGTATGTTGTGGTAAAATTGACTTGAAAGTATTCTGTTCCAGATCTCTTAAAGTCTTTGCTCCAAACTGTGTAACAAGTAAGACAGATTTATAATTCTGTAGCTTCTATAATCCATTTCTGAAATGCATTGCCAAGAGGCTGATCCCTTCTGATTCTGTATACACTCTGGTGAAGGAAAGTCTTTTTCTTTGAATCTTCCCTCACTTCACAGGGGGCCCTAATGTGCATTCCTTTGATGACCCTGACACTAATGTTCCTTACTTCACCCACTGAATACACTGACAAGGAAAGTAAGCAAAAACACTGGTCCTGCAATCAACAGGAAAGGATTTCTCAACAGAATAAAGTTTTTTCAAGGGTTTGTCAAATAAGAAAAGGGTTAGGATCTGTGTACAATATCATCATTTTTTTACTCAAAAGCTCTCTTGCTCAAAAGATGTCAAGAAAAAAAGTAGGTGATATTGTCTATTTTCTTTTTGTTTATTTTCTTTGAAACAATATACAACCATGGTATGTGAGGTTCAACAGGACAGTGATCACATGCTGATCTCTCAGAGAAGTCAAGAAAGTGAGCTTAACTAATATGGAAAACAGAAGTGACGGAGTTAAACTTTGGCTAAATATAAGACTTTGGGCTCAGGAGAAAGTTAAATGACTGGAATTTGAAATCTGTGATATACAGGAAGAAAGTCTAAGTGAATATAGTGAAGCTTTCTGGAAGTAGTTCTATGAAACTGTTGTTAGTAGTTAGAATGTTCAGAAATCAGATAAGAGAGGTCTTTTAAGAACATTAGCAGATAACTCTAAAAATGGATGTGTTAAACAGAATCTGGCATATATTTGAGAAAAGAGAAGGAATTTGTGAAAACAATATTTTTAAGCTGAGTCATCTTTTCAGCCTACAGTTTTTTCCTACAATGGCTTTCTTTTCCTGCAATGTGAATTCCACTGAGTAATAGAGTTCATCTGAAACACATTTATTCTGAAGGAAGAAATGATTTGTAGGGTTCCACAGCTGTGTGTCTCCATATGAACTGGATGGCAGTGAAATAGTACTACATTTTCCACACCGAGCTGAGTGAGAATTCTATGAAATATTCTCAGATAATTCTTACACTGACATGTGTGATATATATCCTCCTATTTTCATATTAAGGTAACTAATTCTCAATGGCCTTTAAGTTTCTGAATGCTTTTGAACACCTACACTATAAAAAGCTGTCAGAATTCTTTTGTTATTGCTTCTATAATGAAGGGTTAAACAAAAAAAATCAAAGTTTTCCCTTTGCTTTACTAACACAAGGAAAGCTAAGTTTTAAAACATGAAACAGAATGTATCAGAACCCTGAATTAAAAAATGTTTGCTAATAATGCTGATTTCTGTTATTGTTCACGAGCAGTAATTAACAAGCCTCTGGTATAATCTATTGATGGCATTTTACAAAATTGATGATTTAATATGTCAATTTTGGTTAAAGTTAACCAAGAAACTCTCACTTTTTATCTTCCCTGCAAGATATTTTGATATTTAGGGAGTGCCTTAGAAATTTCTGACACCCATTTTGCATTGGTTTGCTGTACAATAAATAGTACATTTAAGTGTTTCCAGAAAACGAGGTGAAAAAAATTTACTTTCTTCTGCGTTATGTGGAATTTACTATCTATAATATCTTTGGAATGGCAAGGCCATCGGAGAGTCAACTAGAGAGATTTTACTTCTCATTTTAAAAGCTGGGAAAATATGATGAACAGGCTGGAAGATGTACAGTGGAATGTTTAGCAACCTACCCAAAAACTCACTAAAGCAAGAAAAAAAAACACTGAATTCAGTTAGCATTCTGTTAGTGATCTTTTCTGGATAGTATTGCAAAAAGTCTTCTGTATAAGTCTGCTTTTTAGTTTAATAGTATTTTAAGAATTTCAGTTGCCTATGAAACTTGCTAGCTCTTTTATCTAGTTACAAATAATTTCATTTTTTATATAATTTATATTTTATTTTTAATAATTATTTATCAGGATCAGAAATGTTAAATATAGTGCAATATAGTCATTAGGTTTTTCTTATCACTGATACAAACTGAAAAGAAGCTGCATGAACTGTCCTTTCTCTCATCTTGAAATATCAAATTAATATCAAGTTTATGATAAAAAATTAGTGCTATCAAATATTGTTGATATCTTCAACCACAAAGTTCTGGAAGAAAAGCTTGTGCTGGCATTACAGTTACTCCCAAAATTTATTCATTATATTACTTTCCTAGAATACATTCTTTTCATATTAATATGATTTCTATGGATAGAAAGCATTTTGACAAGGATTTGTATCCCAAAAATGTCATTTTCACACATGTGTGGGCCACACGAATTTTGAAAAATTCATCTGGTCTTATTATCTCATATAGACAAAAAAGCTTCTTATTTTCAGTTCTATTATAAATACTTCTTCATACATGGCTTCAGAACATGACAGATTTTGCAGAGGATATTTTCACATATAAAAAGCTGTATCTGTTGAAAATACAGGAAAAGGTTCTATTAATATTGATTTCCTTAAGAGTTCTTTAAAGGAATTCTAAATCAGACCTTTTGGCACTATGATTTAATCATCATTCTGGAATGTTCTTTCTTTGGAAAATATATCCTGAATAACTTTCACTAGCTAGTTATTACCTTTGACTCAGAAACATTTCCAGTGTACTCACAACATTTTAAATACCTTCCTGTGATGCCTCCTCAGATTGTTTTACATACCTTTGGCATGCTGACAACTAAATGACCAGTTGTTTGTGATCTTTTAGCAGAGCTGCTATCTGGCTTGACTTCCTCAGGGAGCACTAGTTGGAATGTCTGTGAGAAAACAGAATTGAAGTATATCATGCTAATCTTTTTATTTTTATTTTTAACCTGGATAGAACACACGCACATAAGATAACCATCACATTCTTTGATATTAATAGCAGTCTATGTTTAAAACCTCTCAATTGAAATACAGTATTACTAATCCTAATACACGATTAACATGCTAAACAGCTTTTACTAACAAGAATAGCTATATGTATATTTTTGAATTGCTGTCATTTCTGAAGTAATGTTTCTAAAAAATGTTGTAAACTGATGCTTGACTTACATTAGCAATTAAATGAGAAAGCTCATCTAGTCTATTTTAGATTTAAATTAATTCTGAAATTTTATTTATGCAGTTGGTAAAGTCATAAATATGGACTTTAGTTTACTATTTAAATGTTTCAAATTTTTCAAAAAACTGATGATAAAAATAGAACCATTGAGAAGGGAGAAAAGTAAAGTGGCATTTTAAACATTCTTTCAAAGGAATACACATCCATTTGTTTCCGTCTGCTATAAATTCCAGATTGTGAAACTGCTAAATAGTAGCCTAGGGCAACTAATAAGCGCTCTTAAGTGATTTATGGTACACTATAATGGAAATAAAAAGTGAGAAGGAGAGAAAGAGAGAATAGAATTTCATTTCAGGCTTTGCATCTCTTCTGGTCAGAATTTCCACAGTTTATACGTGGTTCAAAATAATGCAATTATGAAAGAGTGTTTTTTCTGAATATGTGCACAAAAGTTGATAATTACTGTAAGTCAGCTACAGAGTACACTGAATAACCATTGCATAAACTAAACATTGATCTGACATGAATTTAATAAGAAAAAAACTAACCTTTCCTTTCACCAGTACTCGTATGTAAGTTGGCTGGACATCGATATCAAGCAGAGAAGTGTCCAGATGTCTTAAAAAATAAATTTATATAAATTAATAAACTTCACAATACAATTCAGTACATAAACTCTTCAGATTATTTAACTCTTTAGTAATAACTTGACAATTTGTAAACTATAAAATTCAATTTTTAGTTATTAAGTTAAATGAAATATTACTTACATTTAATGGGATGGTTTTTGGAAGAAAAATATGACATTCCTATGTGTGTTCACAGAACATCAAATAAAATAGTGCCTAATTCTGCCAAGTCCACAACAGTATTTCAGTACAGCTATTGTATAACTCCAGTGTTTCAAAATCTTTGTGAAAACAGAGAAGCTTTTTATGTGTGTGTGTGTTTTTTTTTATTAGTATGCTGCTTTACATCAATATGAAAATTTGCTAACTTGCTATTTAAAATTGTAGAAGCATTCTGCTACTATTGTTAGCTGGTAAATTTTTAATAAAGGGACCCTTTTTATATCAATTGAAAATAAATATTTATATTCCCAGAAAACAGTATTTTTACATTTCAGTACTGGCAAACAAAGACTGTGACCTGTAGAAGCTCCAATCTAACATCTGCTCTTCATCATGTGAAGTATACTCCTGTTCCTGTGGCCAGCTAGTGAAAGTATGAGAACATATTTCCTATTTCCCTTCATTTATGTTACTTCTAAGGTGAAATTTTCAAACTTTTTAGTTTTCATTTCCTACAGAAAATCACAGACTATTACACAATATCCAACATTTTATTGCATGAGAACAGAATTTTTAAGGCTCCAAAAAACCTAATTCTTATAAGTCAGAAAAAAATTGAGTGGGCTTGTTCTAAACAAAATAAATAAGCTTAAAGGAAAGAACACCTGATGTGAATTATAATATAAACTCTAACAAGTTCCAATTTGGGGTAAATTGTCTTGAGGCTTTCAAATCCCTTTTTGACCCAGAGGTAAAGCCACAAATAAAGTTGCTAAAGTACTTAGTAGTAAATACAATAAAAGAGTTATAAGGTTTCCTTCTCATATTTTGGTCTGTTTCAGATAAATTTATTCTAGAGAATGCTCTGTCATAGTTTAGGGAATAGCATAAACCATGGACTCTTTCCAATAAGCGCTATGGACTAGGCTATCTCATCTTGTTTCAAGAAGAATTTAACTAGAAGATCCTGAACTGTATTGGAGCTTTTCTAGGGCTAGACAACGGACAAAAACATTTCTTACAATTCTATTCTGCCAATGAATGAATGGAAAAGATTTTACATAAGTATGAACTGACAAGTGTGGAGGAAACTTGTCTGTAGACTGCAAAAGACATCAGTTAAAAAAAAAGACTACTAAGACACAGAGCTTATTCAATCAATCTGAAGGGTTTTTGAGTTATACAGTTCCACTTCTTTGACAGAGGCATCAAGATTGATTATATAACCCCCTCTATTTGTTTTCCTCTTGAAATTCCATTACAAAAAGGATTATATTTGGAATTCTGTGTATTAGAACTTACGAATGGCAAAAATGAAGCGGAAACATAAATAATAAGTCTGACCTGTAAACAGCAAGATCCAAGATGAACTGATTGTTTTCTTCATCATCTTTCAAAGAGAAATGAAGCCTAATAGTGATGATAAGACACACTATCAGAATCAATTGGGATGAATAAACAAACATTATGACCCTCTTCAAATTCAACTACTAACAATTTCAGGTAAATAAAAATGATAGTGATCATGATCATGTGATAATGTGACATGAATATCTGACAAATGGTTTCAAATTTTCCTCATAAGTAGTAAAAGATACTAACATAGTGACATTTGAGCTAGAGTCACTCTTATATTTGCTTTCTGTTCTTACCCGATCCCCAAGAAACAAATAAAAATTGTGCTGAAGGTTAGTTAACTTCAGTCTGTCAGTGCAGAAAGAGAGACATCTGCTGGCAAAGTGTCTTTTTTATAGATATCTTCATAGAAAGACCATTCATGAAAAGCATGAACAGCCTGAAACCCAGTAATTCTAACTTCATAATTTGTTTATAAAAAAAAAAAAAAAGTGCATGGTTTTTCTTATGGAAGTTACCTGTAGCATAAATATCTGCATCTGCATTTGTAAAATAAAGTAAATAAAAATGCATAATATCCTTGATTCTACAAGCTTTGTCCTTTTTGTTAAAAATAGGGCCATAGGTTTTAATAGCTATGTGTTTCTGATCTGCTGGCTAACTTCTGAAATTTATGAACAAATCTCAGCAATTATAAATTTAAAACAACTCTTGTACTTTTATTATAAGGAGATTTTGTCTACAGCTACAAGTTCTGATCAAACACTGAAACTGACATCAGAATCCTCAGATACTTTGGGTTCATCTAATAGAAAAAAGCTAAACTGTTAACAGTTTATCAGTTAGCAGTAATATCTCAGCAATGAAAATACAGATATACTTTCAAATTCTTTTCTCTCCCCCATTGTGACACAGACTAATTAGAAGAAAGCTTATGGAGCTTTTAGCTTATGCATATTTTTGAACAGAAAACTGCAAGCAGTATGAACAGCTTTTTTTCCCATTCATGCTTCCTTTTCTTACTATACCCAAAATCTTGAGAATGCATTAAAATACAAAGGGCAAAAAAATAGAGAATTGTTAAATTTTCTAGGTGAAAACTTTAGTAGAAATGAGAAAAATAAATAGACTTCTTTTCTGAATAGCATACAGCCATTCCTTTTGATAAGCTTTCAGCATCAGATAACCTTGGACATTTTGGACATTAGACTTAAGCAATAAAACAAAACGTTTGGAGGGCACCATCTCTGTACTCTTTATTTATTCTCTATATTTATTGTTTATTTATTTATTCTCTCCAATACCTGCCAGATTGCACTGAAGAGCTGGAATATTCCTGTTGAAGCCATAACAGCAAAGAATGTCAATGAACTGGCTTTACCTGGGCACATCCACACAGTAAATTTTAATCCAGTAAACTCAGGTGATATGAATAGGACTGCTACTAACAGTTAACTCTAGATGACTGTTTTTCTTAAAATTAGATAGCTTGAGCTTGATTCTAAATGCTTTCTATTAGCATAAGATTTAAACTATTTAAGGTTTGTCATCTTTCAACTAGGAAATCATTCTTTTCATTTTCTGACAACACATTTTTACAGAAAGGTACATCAAAACAATGAAAAGATTATTCCAATGAAGATCAAATAAATACAAGCTTTTCTGCTGTTACCTATAATTTTACCTAGATCATAGAAAATTATGCATTTACAATGCATACAATTGCATTTATGCAATGTAAGATTTCAAATCCCTTAAATTTGCATGGGTTTATGAATTTCTAAAGTTCAGAAAGCATTTTTCATGCCAGTGATAAGTACTTTCTTAGCTTTGGGGTTTTGCTTGCTTGTTTGCTTGTTTTTGTAGATAAACCAGTCTACAATTGGAAAAACTTGTTTGGAGAACAGCAGACAGGTATGTTTTCCTTCAAAGGCCAACTACTGATCATAGGCAGTTTGAGAAGCCGTTCATAAGGAAACAATTCTCTGCCTTCCGTTTTCCATTAATATAAGAAGGCTTGGTTCCAGCTTCAAGTGAAATCAATGGTAACACATGGCTGATATTCCAGGAAATTCATTTTAAAATGGGACTTGAATATCCATGTGCCTTTGAAGACACGAGCCTCCATTGCTACAGACTTCTATGTCATGCATAGAAGTGAATTACATATGCTGCACAGTTCTGCCAGGTTTATATCTGTCATTTAAAGACAGAATGATTTTGTTCAAAAATAGTACTTACACATACTTTTCCACATTTAAAGTGGCTACTTAGACATATCTATCTTCAACAGTCAGATTTTAGTTACACTTTTTCCACTATTAGCAAGATGCTGTTGGAGAAATTTACCATAGAAGGGAAGAAGAGTAAGGAGTTTTTACACAAAAATGAATTCTTTTGTTTTCAAATACCAAGATATAAATTACCAATCTTTTACACTTTACTCACTGAAAACTATTTTTCCAGCATCAGAGTGTAATTTTAGGAGTAATTTTCCCCACTTGAAATACAATGCTACATATCAGAATTTGTCTTTTTTCTTATTTTTTGTATTGTCACACATTTCAAAATAGTGGTTTAAATCAACTGTTTAAATTCTTCACAGCATTGCTTTCTTACATACTTAGGCATATTGACATTCAGAACTTTTCCTTCTGCAGTGACCAATTTTGGAAAAGGCTTCTCTCTTGTTTTTGACCCTCTAAACAAAATAGAAAGAAAAGCAGCTTATAATTTCACATTTTCATATTTTATGTTGAATAGCAAAACAGAAAGGAGAAGATGTCAGGAAGGCAAGGATTATCTGGTATTGGATTTTAAGGATACAACTTATTTCAGAAACTAAACAGGTTATGTCAGATGTCCAACTGAACATTAAAAGCATCATCTAAAGCTGAGCAAATACTTTGTAGTATCATTTATTTACATAGATAATAACTTCCTAGGTGTGTCACTCAGAATTCATTGTCAAACATGATATCAAACATGAATTAGCTGGCAGAACAGTGGAAATTCTGAAATCCAAACAGTGGAGCTGAAAAGAGAAATTATTATATTTAACAACCCTGTTTGGGAGAAAACAAAATAAAGGGTAAAATAAAAAATAGAAAATGAAAAATAATAAGCAGCCAGTATATTTTACTAACATTTTTAAAGCATATTTGCACAGGTAAAGACAATATTCAATGGGAGGCAGACGCCAACCTCCTCTCTGTGCCTTCAAAAAGTTGTTCATCTTCAGTTCCCAAAATATATTATAAAACAAAAAAACATACCTTATACTGTCTCTAGCTTTCCTTTTTTCTTCAATATATCTGTGAGTTTCTAATCTAGATTCTGGAGTATATGGTGTTGGCTCCTCCCAAAATCTTCTGTCTTCTTCATCATCTTCAGCTGTTCTCCACATATGTTGTTCTCCTTCTGTCTGATGATTTTCTTTGTATTGTAGGGAGTCTGGGCTACACGAAACCACATGGAATATTGTTTGAAAAAGAAGAGTAACAGCAATGATAGATTGATTACTCCACTATGAATATTAATTCCTACCAATAACAATATTTTAAGTATTTGGGTAACTTATTCTGCTCTAGTCTGAGGCTGAGGTCTTCCATGACAGAGTGACAGCATCAGTGGACAAGGGGAAGGCAACTGATGTCATCTATCTGGACTTCTGCAAGGCCGTTGACATGGTTCTGAACCACATTCTTTTCTCTGAATTAGAGAAATATGGATTTGAAGGGTGGACTATTTGGTGGATAAAGAATTGGCCAGAAGGACACACCCAGATGCTTGTGGTCAATGTATTTAAGTCCAGGTGGAGGCTGGTGACAAGCAGTGGTCCTCCAGGGGGCGGTCCTGGGGCCAGTACTCTTGAACATCTTCTATTCATGACATAGATGAAGGGATTTAGCGCACCCACAGCAAGTTTGCCATAGAAGGAAGAGGTGCCATCCAGAGGGACCTTGATAAACTCTAAAGGTGGGTCCTTGCGAACCTAATGAGATTTAACAAAGCAAAGTGCAAGCAGTAATCCCAAATGTGTATATAGACTGAGAGAAGAAATCCTTGAGAGTATCCCTGTTGAGAAAGAGATAGGGATCCTGGTAAACGGAAAATTTAACATGAGGCAGCAGTGTGCTCTTGCAGTCCAGAAGGCCAACAGTACCCTGGGCTGCATCAGAAGAGGGGTGAGATGATTGTCTCTCTCTGCTCTGTTCTCATGAGGCCCCATCTGGAGCACTGTCCCTGTGCCCAGGCCCCCAGCACAGGAGAGATGTTTAGCTTTTGAAAAGGTCCAGAGGAGAGCCACAAAGATGATTAGAGGGCTGGAGCACCTTTCCTATGATGATAGGCTGAAGAAATCGGTCTTGTTCAGCCTACAAAAGAGAAGGTTTCAGGGAGACTCATTACGGCCTTCCAATATCTAAAAGGAGATATAAACATGAGGGAAATCAATTTTTTACACAGGTAGGCAGTGATATGACAAGGAAATGGTTTTAAATTAAAGGAGGGAAGATTTAGATCAGATAAGGGGAAGTTTTCCACACAGAGGGTGGTGAAGTGCTAGAACATACTGCCCTGAGAATATGTGGATGCCTCACCTCTGGAGGTGTTCAAGGCCAGGTTAGGTGGGGGCCCAGGCAACCTGATCTAGTGATCAGTCTTGCAGTTGGCAACTCTGCCTGTGGCAAGTGGATTGGAACTTGATGATGCTTAAGGTCCCTTCCAACCCAAGCCATTCTACGATTCTTTGATTCTATGAATCATGGAAATTAGACTCTACTGGACTAAAAGATGAAGGTCAAGTACAGTGAAAGACAAAGCGAGAGAAAAATCCTTCTGCTGTCTTAGTAACATAAGGTAGAAGAAGTGAAGGTGTAAACAATTCCATAGCCTTTTACACATCTCAAAAGATCTTCAAATTGTTTCATTCTTAATATCTATTATGTCTGAAGCAAAAGAAATTATAGATGAAGAACAGCTTTCTCTGAAATAATTGCATTACCTTAAATAACAATTTCCAGCTGTCCATCTGAAAGAAGCTATCAATTACACTGTTTTGCACCCAGACAATTTAGCCAGGAGATACAGGCCAAAAATTCTTTTGTACTGTCTGCAGATCAGTAATTAATGACATTTATAACTGATTATATTTTTCTTTAGGCATAAAATGCTTAAGGATAAATGCTGGAATCCCACTAGAGTCAGTAATAAAGACAAACATGAGACTTTAAGTAGAATTACATAACCAATATTTCAGGAGGAAAAGCAAAATTATTAATGAAGAAAAAGAAGAATGATGATTAGATGATTACTTAAAAACTGTTGCTACCTACTGTTACCTGCCAAGTCCAAGCTCAGCTTCCATTTGTTTTTCTTTCCTATCCTTTCTTTCATGCATCTTTCTTTGAGCCTCTTCTTTTTCTTTGGCTCTTTTGAGAAGGTAAGCTTGTTCCTGTTCTCTGATTTTCTGTTTCACTTCTGGATAGTACTGAAGTGCTTGAATTCTCTCCGAACGTTCTATTTCTTTACTATCCAAATACTTCCCAAAGGGAAGAAAAATCCATATAAATACATGAGAACTTTTAAACATATTCAATCAAATAAATCCATTAAACTTCAGGTTAATTTAATATTCATTTCAAACCTCCAAAGCACTATTTAAGAAACAGTATATTTAAACGAATTAACAGTAAATTTCTATTTAGGTCTGAAAAAGTGTTTGTGCCTAACAGTTGCCTTTTGCATCTTCTCAGAATTTTACTTTGTCTTATTACTATGGAGTAGGAAGAGTCCCTTCAGCCATTTCTGTTATTTTTTTCCACATTTTGATTTAGCTTATGGAACTATTACAAATACATTTCTTTAAATGTGTTCATTTACTGCTGACAAAAGTTAGTTGAATCTACTCACATTAAGGAAAGTAAGTGTCTGTGCTTCTCCAAGGTAAAGTGTGAGCGTGTACTTGGGGTCATTTTCAGTGACAGGAAATCATTAGATCAGTCCCTGCACAGAATCTCAATCTCAACATATCTATTTTCAGCAGATGCAATATAGTGCATTTTCATGTCAACTTCTATCCTTCCATTGCCTTACACTGTTGGTATGGTATATAACATCAGTACCTTATCAACAACTGAGTAACTTTCTGAAATCATGACAATATTAAAAAATATATGTTTAAAAAAATACTGTCTGTATAAAAACAAATGAGTAAAAAGCCACAACTGTACTATGTACTTCTCTTTTCGGAAATTCGTTAAAGCATCTCCAATGAAAATGACTGATAACTCTAAGAAATAACTGTGGGTTAGTCAGAATTCTTGAGAACAGACTTCACTTTCCTGAGGGCAGTACGAAAAAGATTCCTATTTTTTCCTACCATAAGCATTTATTTTGTTTTGTATTAGTATGTTTAGTCAACAAAGCTGGCTATTGATTTGTTCATAGAATTAACAATAAAAATCTTACTTTTAATTGATGAAGTGTTGCCACCACAAATTGTCTATAACCTTCAAATTCAGTGCATGGGTTACCCACTAGAAACAGTTCCTTCAAATGTATGTTATATTTTAGAGTTTCGACACTGGACAGTTCACCAATGAAATTTGCTGTCAAGTCAAGCTTCTTCAGTTCTTCACAGCCTATTTGAATTAAAAAAAAATCATTTGATTTGTTCGTAACATAAGTGCTCATGACACATACACACAAACATACAGAGACATATATGTACTTAGATACTAAAAATGATGCCTACATTTGCCCTTGTATAATAACTTCATCCTGTCAGGATACATCTTTTACAGGCCACAGGTAGAAGACTGACTCACAGCTAAGCTTCAGGAGATCAAAATATTTATAGAAAGAAAAAAAATTCTTGGTAAGATGGAAAATATAAAAAAATTACTCTTGGTTTCATGACTATAAGAACTCTGTGGTCAGAGCTTGTATACTAGTTATTAAATGCTTCATTTCCAGATGATAAACTTCAGCTTTAAGAGTCTGATCATACTGGTACTGTTCTCAGCTGAAGTCTTCTCCACATGGCTAAAGAGTGCCTAATTACTTCGGAAGAGCAGGATGACTTATGGGTTTCCTTTCTGTGTAATGTTAATCTTCACTAACATTACCAAAGTGTTGATAAAATGTTTTCTAAAAATCCACTCCAAGTTGAGATGAAGTTTTGCACTTTATGGACTCAGCTATTGTTATGAATATTTTATCACTGATTAAATTGCAAAAATTGGTGAGAAAGTGGTGTGTTAACCAGAAACATTTATTATAATTAGTAGCACTAAATTTGCTAACAAATTGATTTGGGAAATCTGGATCCAGAATTTGTCAGCTACTCCTTTTATCATAATCTGTCCTGAGTCATAACCTTGGCCTAAGGAGTAAAAAAGTTCAGCTAAGAGCAAATTCAACTTCTGTGCTCATCATTTTAATCACCTCTTTTCCTTTGCAGGTCTACTTGGCAAGTATTCTATGCATAATGGAAAAGAGCATAAACAATGCAAAATGATTTATTAGAGGATTAAAACAACCTCAATTTTTGCAACGCTCGCTCCCAAAGTTTCTGGCATCTAAGTAAATGACAAATCACAGTAATAAATAATGCAGCCTGCTAGAGCAACTTAAAATTTGCTGGCATGAAAATAGATGTAAATTTCTCAACAAATTGCCAAATAAGTAATGCAGTATATATTTCTGCAACTATTTGTTTATTTTTCCATTTGATTTAAACCATTCTCTTGAATCAGCATGCATATGATTCAAAAGAAAATAAAGCAAAACAGCTTTTTTTTTTTTTTTTTGGCCCCTTGCTAAGGTGCACATTTTATATACTGAGCAACTTGACAAAGTAGAATCGAGAAAGAAAAAGGAAATAAGTCAAAAGTCAGAAATGGTTCAAATAGTATGGAATGTATTTATGGATGGCTCTAAGTCTTAGGACCTGTTCATGGAAAATGGTAAATCCTTGGACAAGCAATTATAGTGACAGGCTAAATGATTAAATAGAGATCATATGGATACAATTTTACGTAAAGATAGAAAAAAGATTGATCTGAAAACCTCTGTAAAAATACTCCAGACAATGCAACTTCTGTACAACGTAGAATGTTCTTCTGTGAGACTTTTGATTGCTGAAGCAAAGGTGACTGCTGAATGATAAAAAGAGATGCTTTTTACAGCCAGCATGGTATTAAAAAAACAAAAACAAAAAAACTTTGCTCTACTAAGCCCTCCACTAAGTCATGTCCCTGAGCACCACATCCAGACGGTTTTTAAACACATCCAGGCATGGTGACTCAACCCTCCCTGCGGAGCCTGTTCCAGTGCTTAACAACCCTTTCTGTAAAGAAGTTTTTCCTGATATCCAACCTAAACTTACCCTGACACAACTGGGGCAATACCAATACCAATCCTGTAAAGGTTCATTAAATTTTGATTCCTGTTTTGTAAAGGATTAAAGAATGGAGCTGTCATAGCTGACAACACTGGTAAAAGAGTACGCAGAGAGCCAGTTAAAATGCATTTAAGAAACAACAGTGACAAAACTTCAGCTGTAAGAACCACTGGCTACAAAGAAATACTGAAACACTGCACACAAACCAGTTTCTTCTGACTGTAAACGTACTACATTTATTGATGGGCATAATTAATAGCTTCCATTTTTCTTTACATTGTCTCTACTCAAGTTTTTCAGTAAGAAAAAGTGAACTAGTCCATTAAAATATCTTACCTTCCAAATTTTCAATTCTTTCAATATTGTTCAATGCAACATTTAAATATTCTAACTTCTTTAACCTGCCCACATTTTCTGTAACAAAACACAGATCCATTACTTCAGTTTCCTTCACTGAATAGGCATTATTATTTTACTTGTTTGCTTAACTTCAAACAAACAATAAAGCAGAAAAATGGGAAGGACAAAACTGAATTTGTATTAGACTATCAGGCATTAATATTTTAATGCTTAAAAAGATGAAAACAGGATTTCTATGAGAAGTATATGTTAATATTAAAAAAGAGGGAAGGCTATAAACACATTTTTTATCAAAACATCTATAATACAAGTACATAATGCAAGAGGTCTGGCCAAAATATGTGGTGAAATATTTCGTTCATCATGAAACTCTGGAATAATTGGACCATATTTTGTCAAGCTTTATGAAATTGGAGTTTTACACTCACTTATATAGAAAAGATTGGTTTCTTTAGTATATATTCATTTTCTAAAGGTCTTTTATCTACAGGGCTATTACAAGTAACTGAAATAATCAATAATCCATGTTATATAGCTGTTGGAAGAATTTATTCTGTTTTGAAATAAAGCTTAGACCTACTATCTTACATAACCCAAAGTTACTTAGCCTGCAATTTATGTTGCCTATAAAATAGTATGAGTTAATTCTGGTAAAAATGTGGTCTAAGAAGTTTCCTTTTCTGATGGAATTTTTGAGGCAACTTAAGTTTTTAGGAAAACCTAAAGATGTGTTTTAATTCCTGACATTAGAAAATAATGGACGGATTAACAAAATAGGTCATGTCATTTTCAACTAGGATTTTCAGATATGCATGCTCAGTTGAGGAAGCAGCAGTGGGCTGGCCCACAATGATGGGTTAGCCATTATCTTTTCCATTTTCACTCAAGTCTTAATGAATACACAAACACTCCATTCTGACTGAAGTAAAGCAAGTGCAGTAACAACTTCAAACCACGATTCCTTTCTGCCACAAGCCTAAAAAACAACCTTGAGGCATGCATTAGCATTTTGGGAAATAAAACCTTATCTTATAATTCCCTTTGCCAGAGCTCATGCTCCTGTGCTAGTAAGTTTGCCAGTCCTGTGTTTTTGTTACACTGTCCTTCACTGTCCCACATCTGCCTACAACAGATTTCTAAAGCTTTATGGTGCTACATGGCCATGTACTGAGTGACACTGTCTTAGCACGCAGCATTAGCACACATACTACAAAGATGCACAACGAACAGAGGTAAGGCTGAGTAATGAAAGAGTTGTGGAATTGTTCAGATTGCAAGTGGCATGGGATCTGAAGGTTAAGCCATTTGCAGAGGAACTAAACTAAGCTCAGAGATGCAGAAGGGTTGAGATCCTAAATGCTTGCACGCTTCTTCAAAGAAGCTAAGCTCCCTCAACTAAATGGAAACCAAGAGGATGTTAGGATTACAGCACCTTGTTGTCCCTGAGACAATCACACATTGTGTCAGAAGCATTCTGTGTTTGACACTGCACAGGATTTCAGTGGCATATGGAGAATTCCTTTTCTGCATTCAAAGTAAATATTTACACAGCATTCTATGGGCGTTCTTTACAGAAAAGCATTATGTAAACCCTAAACATCACCTGCACTATCTAATGTATGATTCCTCATAGTGGAAAGCCCTGAAGGAGTGCAGTACTGCTTGATGTTTGTTTTAAGAGGAGAAAAGGATTAGAAAGTTGCTCTAATCATAGAAAATGTATGGTAGTATAAGGGTACAAGAGGAGGTACTACATCACTTTGTTTCAAGCCAAGAATAAATACAGTAGATGATATATCCAGGAACATTCCCTGATAGATTAAGACAATTTGACAGAAATAAATGAGTGACGCTGTTCTTTATTAAATATGGTGATTCAAATTTATCCATAGTGTCACTGTGATATAACTGGAATATATACAATGGCTCACTTAAAGCTGCAGGAGTTCTCTTTCTACAGGCCAAACATAAGATAGCAGGCAGCTGTCAGCCAACAACAGGACCATTCTATAGTCTGGGATCTAAAATGTATTATTTTCACCACAAGCTATTGAAATTAGCAGGATCACAATATTTGTTCTTTTATTTCTATCAGAATACCTAGCATTTCCTCCTCTGTGTAAGCGAGGTGGGGGAGTAGTAAACTTTACCAGTGCCAAAATAACTGGGAAACGCAAATGCCATTTGAAATGTGACACGCAGGTCTGAGACACAACTCTGATACAAGATACACGCTTTAACTCATGATGCAGTTCACAGACTTCACCAGTCTCAGGTTTTTTGAAGATCTGACTGGAAAACCTATCCAGTGAAGTCAGAAAGTTTACCTCACACTCTAATTTGCAAGGTGTGCTGACTAACTGCTGTACATACTGGCCCTGCAGAGGCAAACAAAGAAATTCAAGCACAGAAAGATTCATCTAACTGATACAGATCATGTCTACAGCTGAGCTACTTCTCTAGGATCCCCTATAATCAATACAGAGAAATAGGTTATTCAGGGTGCAATTTGTCTTGTCTTAAATTGGCTGTCTAAAACCAGTGAACTAAATCAGGCTTGAAAATTTGTCTTCTTCTGGTTAACTAAGACCTTGGAGAGGTGTTTTCTCCATTCATAGATGATGAAATTAATTTCTCAGCAAGGATTCATGCCGCGTATTTTGCTGTATATTTTCTCTATGGTATTTCTATAATTGCAATATCTGTGTGCATGATATGAGTAAGGCAGTGTAGAACACAATGTTATCTTGTGTTTTCTTCCCATTTATAGAAAAGAAAAGAGCCATGAATCCTTCACACAGCTTGGTGGTTTTATTTCTATGCATATGGATACTTTGCAGCTTGCTAACTGACCAGTAGGCTAGTCTGATCTTTAGGGTGGTGTTAAGGGTTTCCTTTAAAATAAGAGACACATCCTGACAGAGGCAGTATAAAACATACAGATGTGATATTTTGATATACAGAAGTGTGTGTTCTGCATCAATGCATTGCTGTCTACTTCACAGTGGTTTACTTCTTGAATTCCATACTGTTTCTATGAGATATGAGCACTGACAAAATAATAAGATAGGGTCTTGTGCCTTAAGCACAAAATAATAGAGAAAAAACAACTTTTTTTACTCAAATTCTGATGGGATAGAGCAGCATAAAGCAGTTTAAAAAAACCTTTCTCTCTCTGGGAGAAGATTACTCCACTTGAAGTAATGCAGATATTATCAATATAAATATTCCTTTGGAATTTCCTGACAAGCCCCGTTAGGGCAGCTTGGAATTGAGATTTAAAGCCTTTGCCTCCAAATCACAAGCACAGAATTTCACCCTAAAACTCTAGATTCTCTTTTCTGCCTCTTAAGGAACTTCAAAGAAATATGCCAATATCATTCCTGAGCACTTCTCATTTTCCATTCTTAATGTCCTTAACAACATGCTTTAACTTTTGGTTAGTTCCAGAGAGGTTGGGCAGTTGTACTTCCAAGGTCCTTTCCAACTGAACCACTCTAATTAATCTATGCAGTATCTGTAGGATCGATGCTTTTCCAGACCAAGACTCCATGTCATATCATTCTGTGTGCCTAGCAAACTTAAAGCTGCATCACAAGAGCACAAGACATAGATCATAAGGAACTGCATCTTCCTGTGGTAAATGAAGATCATTCAGACTTCTCTGTAAGTTGTCCGTAAGTCTTTATGCACAAAAGCAATTATTGTATCTGAACAAAGATTACTTCCAGCTGAACAAAAGCTACGACGTGTATAAAAACTGAATTGAAAAATGAGCATGAGGACAGCTAGTTCTCAAGTATTGCAGTTCATGGAATGCATTGAACTGTCTCTGTTATAAGAAAAGGACCTTTGAGTTATACCTTCACATACAAGTTTTTAACCAATTAAGGTGTTCTACACTTCCATTCTAGTGACTTGTATCTCAGTACTAACTTTTTCATTTAAACTCCTGCAAATTTCTAAGCTTCTTAGAAGTCTGCTAACACGAAAGGGAAATAAAAGCTTGTGGGAGCAGAATCAGAGGAACTTCTCTGTAGTTACACACTCCACATTCCATGAAGAATAACGCAAAAGATATACATATATTTCTTACTATGCAAGCAATTCCATTTAATAAAAAACATATCCAGAAAATGCTTACCAATTTTTGGAATTAGGTTATTCTGAAGATAGAGAATTTTCAAATCCCGACACCATTTGTCAAGGTATTCTAATTTTTCAATTTCTTGCTGATGTAAAGAGATTTCTTCCAGTGAAAAAATTTCACAGTTATTATGTTCTGCACGTCTTCTAACAAGATCTTCAGTGACTGAAAAAATAGTTGAGGTCATTGGAAAATATATCCAGTATTTGAATTATGAACAATTTTTTAGATCATTAAAATCTTTTGTTCCATCATACTAAATAGATACTTGGGACAACAAAAAGAAATTCTGCTATAAAAGACAAGTGTCAAGCAACTTCAACTCACCCTACTACAGTGAGAATAATTTGTAAAACACAATTAAGCAACCTCCAACATTTAGAAAAATCCATATGAAAACTGTGGAATCTTCCATAAAATGTAGAGCAAACCTTGCTTGGGGCAAAGCTATAACTAATTCATGCTTATAAACGTTTGTGTAGGGATGATATGTAATCCTGCGTATTTTGTAGACACCAGCAGTTCATTAGCAGCAAGCAGAAGAGTTTCATTGGCTGAAAGATGCTAGAAACCTGGCTTCAAGAATTTTCATTTAGCAATGTTTAGTGCAGGGCAATCCTTCAGTCATTTAAATGGATCTGTATGATGAAGATAAAAGAAATTCTGTGAGAACTAGTGCTCACTCTTGAGGTAGATGTGATTACTTTGTTTCCAGTCCACTGCACCAAAAAAAGCACTTGCATTTTCATCTCCTTGATAAACAGTCAACTACAGTGAAGTACTGATTAAAAACATGACTTTTAGGAAATAAGCATAGAATCTTACTCATATTTTAAAAACTTACAGAAGCCTAGCAAGCCTTTCAAAAATACTCTGAAGAAAAATAATAAAAAAAGAAATATATATAAATACAGAGATCTATGAAAACCAATTGGTCCTAGCATGCATTTATTACATTCTTTCACTGCTTCTTTATCTCAGGGAGGTTTTGATAAATGCTCTGTCTTTATTACTGGTCCTGGAACAGCTGCACACACTCACATGAACAGAGCTGCTAAAAGCCTGGTGATCTGTGCACCTGTGTGGCGCAGTCTTGTGTGTGTCAGCACAGCTCCTCTATCCACAGCCTTTAGGAAAGAGGCAAAATAAGTTTTGCACATTACTTTTTTTTTTTTTTTCTGCAAATAAGCAGAGTTCAGTTTCCCTTCTTTCACCCAAATTTTATCTAATTTAGATTTATGTCACATTTACAGATATATGGAATTATTTATCAGTGATGCTGGTATTGATGCAAGAGTGGATCCTGTCTGCATAGGAAGCATGTTGGGAAAGGTGAGCCCATCCCCTTGAATCACTGTGGGTAGGTTTGCTGCGTCTGAAAAACCATCTTCTGTTCAACAGCAAATTGATTAAAGCTGATTAAATTATTAGAGAAAATATGGCAATAATCATGACTAAATAGTATTTACAGAAAATATGAAAAATATCAGCATTCTAATAACTTACTTTGCAAGCATGCTGGAAATTACAGAAAAGAATGACCTTCTTTCCAATGTGTCTAGTGTCAGATCTTGCAGTGACAGTATTTCCAGTGCAAACAGGTGCTTTTGAGCAAGAAAACAGTATCCCAGGATCTGCACACTTACACATTGGAGACATCTGCACTTGCTATACCCTTTATAGAAAAAAAGAAGTGACACAAACTATTCTGGACAGTTTTATTACAGCCAGATTTCCATTTGCTGATGATTGTGGCAGGAAGTATGCAGAAACACTCATTTTCGATACATGGTATGCAAGGCAGAGACAACCATTCCCAACAGAATCTATCTATTTCTGGGTTCTTCTGTGGGAACGGAGTGAACATTTAACATTCTGCATGCTACCTATATATGTAAGGGGAGTAAGGGAAACAAACTTGCAGAAGAAAACAATAAATACTGAGGTAAGGGTATAAGGAATGAGGAGCAAGTGCGGGGAGAGGGAATATGGTATTAGGGAGTGGGGAAAGGAGGGATGGGGTCCGGAGGTGAGACGGAAGGCTGTGTGACACTCACTCCGCACCATGGCTGCCCGCAGCTCCCGCCGCCGCCATTATAGGACGCCCCGCGCTGCCATGGCAACGTGCAGGGCGCTGCTGGGCCGACCGCTTGCGTCGCTCTCCTCAGCGTGGCCTCAGCTCTGCCCGTGTCTGCAAAAGCTGGAAACGCCGGCACCATTTGTACTCCAAAATGACGATGTTTATGAGTCTGTCAGTCCTGACACTTTCCTTTGGCATTCAGATATGAAATAGCTTCCTCAGGCTGTCCTGTCTATCCACTGTGTGATGTCCTTGTCACCCCATTTGCCCACCATAGTGCTTGCAGCAAACACTGCTGCCCTTCACCTTTTAGCTGAGATTGTCCCAGCTAAAAAACTCTTCCCACACTATTTAAGGCATGAATCTGCTTTGAGAGCTGTGTGAAATGTGCCACGCTGTGTACACAGTTATCACAGCCCCCTGCAGTGTTCTGTGGACTCTCACTTGTCATTACCATACTTCACATTCAATGCCTACCTTGCAACCAACCTGGTGTGTCGGAGTCGTGGCTGGAGGTCTCGGTGACATCAATTCTCATGTATGGGATTTCCTACTTCGCAGTGAACATAATATAATGTTGCTTCATGTGCTTGATTAAGCAAATTCCCAACTGGCAAAGTTACAGCAACCTAAATCTCGAAGGAAGTGGAGGGGATGACGTGCTTCAAAACATCACAGAGTCCTTCACCTAATCCTGATATGATGACAACCATTACAAATCAGCAATGAAGTAATTACAGGTTTACGTATTCTGTTCATTGCCACATCATTCCTTGGTCACAATCTTATAGAAGCCACAATTGGTGACTCCAAAACTTCAGGTGCAGAACATAAACTGGTACAATTGTAACCAAATCAAGGTGTAAACATCAGGAAAGTCAGCACGCACCACAAAACATTCAGTTAACCACAACATAACGGTTCAACCAAGCCTAAAGCTCATCTATTATCAGAAAAATCACATACATTAGAAAAGTTTAAGAAAGGATTTATTTGCTTGTTTTTAAATCTTCATTTACTAGGTCACTTCGCTGGGATGTAATCCATTAAAAAATACAAATCACAGTGTAACTTTCTAATTTTGTTGCTATTTAGGGGGTAGTAGGAGAAAGGTGTCGTGGAGTTAAAGCTACCAAGTTTTGTGGAGGTAATGAGACACAAAGGAGCAAAGTGAAGTTGACGCACTTTGGTTTGTAAGTCCCTGGCATTTGTCCCTGTCTGACTGGACATAGCCCACTAACGCTGAGGACAAAGATTCAGACAGAGCTGGTTGGACGGCACCATCTCATGGCTACAAAGCCACAGAAACGACAGCTGGGGGCAAGGCCTTTTGCGTCTACTCATTTATTTCATGTCACACTGCAGGCTCCTTCCAATAATTGCTTTTACAGCTTTGACTTTTACTACAACTATTAATTTCTGACTTGAGATTACAGCTCACATTCAAGGTAATTGATAATAATAAGAAAAATCTCATTCTTTTTACATCCAATATTTTAAGTGCTGTGTCTACACTGCACTGCACAGAAATACACAAATTATTTTGTTATTCTAAAACCCTGGGGTTTTTTTTGTTTTGTTTTTTGTTTTTTTTCATGGCTCTAGAATTGCACGCTGTTATTTCTCATGTTCTCAATAAGCCATAAAGACCAGTTGTGTGTATGAAGGGATGGTGCTGAGATTGGGAAAAACAGAGATTTTTTTTTTGTCATTTTTTTTTTCTCATTCATTTCTCATCATTTCTCTGAATGAATTTTGTGAAATCATAGAATTGTTTAAAGGACCTTTAAAGATTATCTAGTCCAACTTCCCAACATTGAACAGGAACACCTACAGCTAGATCAGACTGCTCAGAGCCACATCCAGACTTTCTCCAGGACTCCTCTCAGGACATCCTGTTTTAGTGTCTCACTACCATTATTGTAAGAAGTTTTTCCCTATATCCAATTTAATCTCCTTTCTTTTAGTCTGAAACCATTTCCCCCTGTCCTGTCACAACAAACCCTGCTAAAGCGCCTGTTGCCTTCTTTCTTACAGCCCCTCTTCAGATACTGAAAGGCTGCTGTCAGGTTTCCCTGTAGTCTTCTCCAGGCTGAACATCCCCAGCTCTCTCAGCTTGTCATTTTAGGAAAGGTGCTCTATCCCTTGGATTATTTTTGTGACCCTCCCCCAGCTGTGCTTTAACAGGTCCACTCTCTGAGAGACTGAGGACTCTGAAAATTTCAATTTATAGTAATGGAATTTTTCTTGGTTTCAGTCTTTCTTGCCTGTGACAGCAAGTGGTAAGTTATCCCCCTGTCCCTCCTTCGACCCACGTGCTTTCTCATCCTATATTCTCCTGTTCTGTTGCAGAGGAGGAGTGAGGATGGCTGGGTGGGAGTCTGGCTGCTAGCCAAGACTAACATGGCACAGCAAGAAACGGAAATGGGCGATTGCAAAGAGATGTTCTTGCAGAAGCTTTGTGGGAGGGCTGAAACAGATTTCTTGAGGATATTTCATATCATAATGTAAATAAATTACCAGTAATCTATGTTTATATGTGTCCAGAAAGGCTACTTTATGGAAGTTATGGTAGATACTCTCCTTTATCTATACAACATTGTTTTCCATTTTAGTTTTCTCTTATTATCTCATTCATGCAGTAATCTTGTTGAAATTCGACTGAGAGCTGCCAGGTCTGTCAGCTTTACAGGAGCAATACTGCAGGGATGCTGCAGCTCCATGCCTGTAGTTCCAGCCAGCAGTGAGCCTGAGTATGTGTTCCCAGCAGGCACAGAGCGAAACATGTGCCCAGCTCCTGGGCCATCCGAGCTATTTGCTTTGTGGAGACTCCTGCTGATGCTGAAGCACCCTCAGTTGTCCTGGTCCCATTCCAGTTGCTCCACTCAGACCCTCATACACACACATGCATACCAAACAGAGGCTTTTACCTAGAAAGAGTTAGAAATGGGGTTTAATAAGGAGATAGGACAGACTGCTCTGATGAGGCACAAGATACATATAGCAGACAAGTGTATCAAACCACAACCACCCTTACAAGCCCCTTATCTTCTTAGTCCCTGTTTTCCTATGCCTGCTCCTTCCCAAGCCATGTTAATCCTCCTTTTATCCTGTAATTGCACAAAATGTCTTGTGCAATCCCAAGATGCTATGTGCAGTAATGTACATCATAACCTGGGAAGTGCTTCCTGCCTTGGTCAAAACATAATGTGGAACTATGTAGACTCTGAAGTGACTTCTGCATTCATTTATTTTCAAATACAAGTCTAAACTTTATGTTTACCTACATGAGTATTATTGTGTTCACTATTTTCATGCAGTTAATTGTACTAGTTGTGCACTAAGAGCTTCAAGTAACATGCATTCTCAGCATGATATAATGTCCATGATAGGTCTAATGTCCACACTGCAAACAGGAGAATGGAGTTGAGAAAGAAGAAAAAGTGTCCCATCTGGAGTTTATTCCCTGAATAAATTCACTTTACTGCTTTAATACATTTACAAGTTTATTTGGTACACACATAAAGCAATGCAATATAAAATACTCATTCCACAGCAGAACAAAATCAGCTTTATAGCATTATCATTGCAGTGCATCAAAAGTATCCTGAATACATGCAGCATATACTCATGTAAAGTGCTGTAACCCTAGCAAATTGATTTCCATGAACAAATCTTAACTATTAAAATGTCGCATATCAGAGTCTGAGATGGAAATCAGCTGATTGATACCTACTCAGAATCTGGAACTATGTCTTTTTCTTTCTTTCCTATTTAATTATTGTGGTTTCTGTTGTTGTTATTACTGTAATTATCATTACATGCTATGTTGCTAACAGTTACATAGTAACTAACAAAATTAGTTTTTTATCTTCACCCCAGAGTACCAATAAATCCCGTCCTAACAGCACACAGCCTACAGGATAGGTCAGAAAATGACAAATAACAAATGTATTGAAATATATGCAATCCCCAATAATCACCTGCATTACTGATGACAGACATAGGAAAAATATGTGAAAAAGAACAACTTTACAGGTATGTAAATGATAGGACAAGCAAAAGGCAGCATGATAAATGTACAAAACCAATAATTTAAAAGGAAATAAGAGTTTTGCACCGTATATTAAAATACACAACAGTGTTTACAAAATGCTGCAGCTAATTCATCAAAAAAAAATTTAAAAAATACATCAAGGAACATATTCTGCAGAAATGGACTGAATGACCATGCCTATTATCTGCATCATTTAACACCACTTAAGTCAAGATGTTAATCTTAGTCCATGTGGCTGGACTTCTGTATGCATTACTTTCAGGACAAATACTAAGCAGGCTTGGTCACACACTAGCAATATTATAAGCTATTATCATTCTGCTTGCCACTGTTCTCTTCAACACAAACATACTCACTATTAAGCACTATGTGATATGTACTCAAGAATGCCCTTGGAATTCAGCTGAACACAGCAAGAAATAAAAGCCATAGGGGTTATAAATCTCAATCTTGAGTTTCTTCTCCGATTTTTTTTTTTTTTTTTAAATAAGGTGCTATACTAAAGCTGAATCAGGATTTAATCGCCAAGGACAAAAATAAAACTGTAGTAGTCCTCTCTGTTTGTAGATGTATCCGTTAATCAACAAATTAAAAACGGTTTGATTTTACTAGAATTACTGTTCAGAATTATCCTAGGCTTGATTCTCTAGTTAACAGAAGTTGCAAATTCTAATTATCTCTGACAGCCTGGGTTTAAACATTTAGGCTAGAAAATGTTTTCTTCAGTTTTTCATCAGATAAATTTTGGATTCAGTTTATCTTTTGATAGGATTGAACATACCATACCGCTGTACTTCTTTTCAGGAAACTGTTTTCCTCAATTACTTTTCTGCCCTTTGGAATATATGAAAGGAACAGCCGAAACATAAGCAGTCTCATAACTGAACAGAACTTTGTTAATTCAACCCTGATGAATATTGCAGAGGGCAT